ATAGACTTAAATGGTTGATATGTATAAAAGTTTGTTTAGACAAAAGCAAAATATAGTCATAAAAGAAGAATCAAATGGTATAAAAGTTTGTTTTAGACAAAAGCAAATGATCTGATAGAGATTTAAAGCAGGACTCGAAGGCCTGATAGTACCGTAGAATGACACTATTGTACTGATACGGTCATCTAACTACCAAGTCAGATAGCCTCCCAAGAGTTCATGTAGGCCCACTGCTATCAATATGACATCATTTATGTTACACGTCGTTTATCCTAGTGTGACACAATATTTCCATCCTACACTGTAAAAGTATAGCATTTATCAGGTACTAAAGTTATTTACAACCTTCTCATATGAAAAAGGGTTTTCACATTTATCGTAGCTCTGAAAGCTAACACATTTTCATACATATAGCTAGTTGTCAATTAATTATACGCAATCTTCAGTGAAACATTAATAGCTTGAATGAATAGTTAGATCAAAGATGTTATATTTAAGACACCTTTCTAATTTCACATTGGTAAGATAAGCTAAGACAATTAGCCCATCATCGTTCAAATTCTTCTTGTGAAAGATGTAAGAACTGAAACATATATAACGGAAATGGAAAGTACTGAAAATAAATTGCATATTTTAAAAATGAGAGGAAACTTGAGTCCAAGTAACTAAATACTGCAGGAATATGAAGGACTAAAAGTAAATTGCTCAACAATGTAAATGAAATAATGTAATGATAGAAAAGTAAAGAAATAAAGAACAATCATGTGGGGTTTTGTACGAGTAAATAACTTGTACGGAAAGTTTCATTTCAAATCACAAATACTTGCATTAAACACTTGGTAAACAGAAATTACAACTATTTAGATACAAATAACGAGCCACAAATGGATTGAGAATCGATCATGATGCCACGAGCTCGATGCTTGCTCCTAAAGAAAGCCAAATAAAAACTGAAAGTAAACAAAAGTAACCAAAAGGAAACCGTGAATACTTAAATACTTGAAAGATTGTGTCAACCAAAAGAGTTCTCGTACAAGAGAAATTAATTACTAGAAAGCAGGTAAACTTAAGAAAGCATAAAAGACAAGAGAAAGTAAGTAGGTTATTGATAACTCTAGTTTTTAGAGTTATTACATGTCTTTTATTTTAATATTCTTTTGTCAAATTCGGTCACTTTGCTTCTTAAACACCATTTTTGGTCTGGTCTTTATTTCTAAGTAGAAAGTGCCCACTATAGTAATTTTGGAACCATTTGATGTGATTTTATGTTGCATTCTCAAGAAATCATCCCCACTTCCCACTCCAAAAAGTTGAAAGTCAACTATGTGAAAAATGCGGTTTTGGAAGCTAAAAAGGTGGCAGGAGAATAGAAAAGTTGTTTTGGGACATTCTAAGCTTAATTTTGGCCGGAGGCAAACAAAATAGTCCAAGATCTAACAGACAAAAGGGTTATTGTCATGCCTTTTGGTGAAAGCTTCTTTTGGAGGTGGTAAAAGTGGTTTCAACGTTTTCCTATTTCTGTTTTCCCACCATTTTGCCTCTTGTATATATATTGATGCTAAACTTTAGAGTTTTCTTTTTTTGAAGTATATAATATTTATATACGACGAATGCAACAAATAAACTTACACACATTCCTCACTTTTGGTGAGGTTTGAACCTCTGACCTCTTAGGAGGCCGGAGATTATGATACCGTTAGGCCAAAGGCCCTTTGGTTGCTAAACTTTAGAGTTAGTATGCATGTTTTTATTTTCAAGTGGAAAGCTTAGCCTTTTGGTTAAAGAGAGCATCGGTCCAGTAGTTCTAGTAATGACGAATCTTAGTTTTAATTTTCAATAACATTTACTTTCTCGTAATTTTTATTTTTTCAGTATTGTAATTCAGTGCCTTCTGTAGTGGGCACTACGTCTTTTTATTCAAGTGAAATCTTTGAAATGTTTTATTGCAATCTTTATTTTTATTTTTTATTCTTCTAGCATGAACTAAACATCACTTGAGATGTAGGAGTGAAAAGTATTAAGATTTTATACAAAATGCTTGACTAGTTCGCTACAAAACAAGGGACCTTCACTGATGGCTAATTCGTCGCTAAATGTCGGATCCGTCGATGGAAAAGCCATGGGAAAAGGAATCATCGATGAATTACTGACAGCGACCACTCTGATGGATTACCGACTAATTAAACGGATATCGACGGCCAAACTTACCGACGGATATAATTACCGACATACAAGATTAGCGATGGATATAATTACCAATGGAATGAAAAAACTAAATGAATAAAGTCGGTAAGTTGTTTTTTTAAGTAATCTTAAAATACTAAATTTCCTATACAATAACTTGGCTAGATTTTAAAAATAAATTGCAAAATTAAAATGATACTGTTTTTACAATAAGATCCTAAATTACTAGTCGGTAAACAGAAAATTATTTGAAATGATTAAAATACCCTTAATTTTATTGAACTAAACAAAAAAAATTACTGGTCATTAAGATGAGGGACCAAAACCTTTTTGAAATGATAATAGTAAGAGACCAAATTCGAGTTTTCAAAGTTTAATGACGATGTTCGTACATTCATATAATATAGATACACACACATATATATATCCATGACATATATATATATATATATAGGGGGACTTCTTTTAAGAACTTCACATCTGATAAGACTCTCTTTCTCACTACTGTTGATATGTTCTTTCTACCTTCTCTTATCTTCTCTCTAAGTGTATTATGTACAATAAACCTTTGTGTCTTCTCTACTTAAGTTCTTCAGAGATTCTAAGTTCTAAAGTAAGATTGTTTGGATTAGGATTATCTCATTTTCTTATTTCGCAACGTCTGTAAATTCATATGTATCGATTACTCTCTATAATTAAAAAAAAAAATTAAAAGGTGAAATAGTTGTGCTTGTATTCAACCCCCAACTTTTTAAGCCTTGTTAGCCCTCTTGAGACTTGACTTCAAGAAAATTAATAAAGATCTTGGTTCCTTTTCTATAATAACCTATACAACATTACCATTATTATTTTTCTTGATCTCCTATTGTTTAATATGTTCTTTTTCATTAAAATAGCCATACCCAGAAAATATGCACCAATGGAACGAGCATCGACTTTTTAGCGTTCTTGCAATGTCAATATCTATCGGTACGTCTTTGCTATGCACTCATATCATCATCATGCCCATTGTAAGCCTATTTCTAAGTTGTAACCAATATAGTTATGCCCATTGGATAAAAATAACATCTGGGTATTACTTAATATGGCCAATTAGGGGCTGTTTTACAATTACTGAATGGTTTGGTGCAGAATGATTAAGAGGTCAGAATAATTAAGAGGCTATCATGATGTAGTGCAAAATGAAATATAATTGTTTGGTAATTGTGTACAATGAAATCAAGGCTCTTAATGGTTAAGGGAGATCCAGGATACAAAATCATTCAGGGGGTTTTAGAACCATTAAGAAACAGACTTTTTTTTGCCAAACAAGATTCACCTCTTAACGATTCAGATGTTGCCTCTTAATGGAACTATTAAGAGGTATTTGAAACCTTGGATCATCCCATATCAAGTGATGCTCATTTCTCGAGCCAAGGTGGTCGAATGTTTGATTCTTGCGCGTGACGGTTTATGAGACATGATGAGCAATGAGGAAGTGTGGGAAATAGCATGAAAAAGAATACTTGTTTGGCATAAAAGGAATGGCGTAAGCAGTCTTCCACAAGAAAGAGAGGAAGGGATTGATCTTGCGGCCCAAGCGGCCACAGAAAGCCTCTCGAACCATGCTCTACAAAAGGGAAGCAAAGATAACATTACGGTGATCGTTATTGACTTGAAAGCACAGAGAAAGTTTAAGACGAAAACATGATATAATAGTAAACTTGAAATCACAAGTGTACAATGTTATTGTTAAGAATTCAAAACAAAGGGTCCATCTGTTTTTCACGTGGGCCGATATGTTTGTTTGTCGATGTAAATGTTTTTAGTTGTTTTTGTAGTAAGATTAGGATTTCCTTGATGTGTTTCCTTATTGTTCCTCCAAGTTTCAAAGGCTTTGTGAGGTATTGTACCTTTCTAGGAAATAAAAGTGTAGCATCTATTATGTTTGAGAATTGTTGTCGATATCATATGTAATGTGTGTGTAGAGAGAGAGAATTAGGATTATGTGAGTAAAATCTGCTTTCGTGAAATCCGTGAGACCATTTTTTACACTTGAAATCTTATAGCAAAATGTTGTGAAGGTAACCTTCACAGTGGTTTTGTTGTAAAGGTTCGACTTTTCTTTTTACCTTCACAACATTTTGCCATGGAGTTTCAAATGTAAAAAAGTGGTCTCACGAAAACAGACTGGTCTCATATGAACCCAACTCTCTCTCTCTCTCTCTCTCTCTATATATATATATATATATATATATATATTATGTTGGGAACGTCATCTTGGATTAGTTTCTCGGTCTCTTTAGACAGACGTAAGATCTACATATTACTTTATTCCCTCTGTCTTAATTCAAAATGAGCAAGTTTAATTATTTTTTACTGACAAGGTCTTAATCATTCCAAAAAGAAAATTATAATGGTTTTTTAATTCAAAAAATAGTTTAAAGACTTGATCACTCAAAATAGAATAAACTTTTCTTTTTGAACAGCAAATTAAATGAAAATGAAATCGGGCCTACAACCCGGCTAGAAATCATGTCTAGTTGTGGGCATACTGTCTTGCTGGAATATTTTGTATGTGTAATATTTTAAACATATTTATACACATTTTATATATATATATATAGGATTGGGTTTACATTAGACCAGACTGTTTCGTAAGACCTGTGAGACTGTTTTTTTTACACTTGAAACTTTATAGCAAAACGTTGTGAAGATAAAAAAAAAATCAAATCTTCACAGCAAAAACACTATGAAGGTGATAAGTTTCAAGTATAAAAAAATGGTCTCAGAAATCTCACAAAAGCAGGTTGTTCTCACGTTATCCCAAGTCTATATACACACATATTACATATGATATTGACAACAATTCTCAAACATAATAGATGCTACACTTTTATTCCAATAGAAAGGTACAATACCTCACAAAGCCTTTGAAACTTGGAGGAACAATAAGGAAACACATTAAGGAAACCCTAATCCTACTACAAAAACAACTAAAAACATTTACATCGACAAACAAACATATCGGCCCACGTGAAAAACAGATGGGCTCTTCGTTTTGAATCCTTAACAATAACATTGTACACTTATGAATTCAAGTTTACTATTATATCATGTTTTCGTCTTAAACTTTCTCTGTGCTTTCAAGTCAATAACGATCACCGTAATGTTATCTTTGCTTCCCTTTTGTAGAGCACGGTTCGAGAGGCTTTCTGCAGCCGCTTGGGCCGCAAGATCAATCCCTTCCCCTCTTTCTTGTGGAAGACTGCTTATGCCGTTCTTTTTATGCCAAACAAGTATTCTTTTTCGTGCGATTTCACACACTTCCTCGTTGCTCATCACGTCCCATAAACCGTCGCTCGCAAGAATCAAGCATTCGTCCTCCTTGGCTCGAGGAATGAATGTCACTTCCGGATCTGGGATGATCCAAGGTTTCAAATATCTGTCGCCTGCAGCCCACAATATCCCGTTTCGCACATCCAATATCAGTCGCTATATTTCCTTTTCCGGGAAGGGAACAATATTTATCCAAAGGGTATTTTAGATATCTGGCGAAAAGTCAGACACTACTGTGACCTACTGACCATATTAACTAAAACCCAAAAGTTATTTATATCCAATGACATAACTGCAATGGTTAGAACTTAGAAATAGGCATCATAAAAGTTACAATGGACATGATGATGATGATGATGATACGAGTGTATAACGAGGACGTACCAATAGATCTTGACATTGCAAGAACGCCAAAGACACGATGCCCGTTCCATTGTATCACCTTGCCTCCGGCAGCTTCAATTCTTGCATATTCATCTTCTCGATTTGGCTATTTTAGTGTATACAACATATTAAGCAATAGGAAATCAAGAAAAATCATGATGGAAATGCTATATATGCTAATATAGAAAAGGAAAGAAGATCTTTATTAACTTTTCTTGATACCTAGAGATGCTTTGATTAGACTAAAACCAAACAAACTCAGTATACCCCATCTAGTAGTCGGGTACGAGGGATAAGATGTATGCATACCTTTTTCATCTGCTTCAAGAGACAATGAGACTGTTTCCGAGAAAACCCGATACTTTGGGCACATCACTTGATTCTTAAAGTATTCTTTCGCAACTAGGCTTTATCTCCTAATGGGTGCTTATCTCATGATGGAGATTTATCATAGGGCCTAATTCCCTCCCCACTTGATCCATCTAGAGCTAACAAGATCTAGCATTGTAAACACATACAAAAGACGCATGTATGCGCGTGTGTGTGTATGTATATGCGTGTGTGTCTACACATATGTAGGTAAACCAAACCAAACCAAACAAAACCAGAGGCACCAAGTATACTGTATATTCCATTTGGAGGTGGGATCTTGAGAGAGTAAGATGTACATGGAGCTGACATCTACCCCAAATAGTAGAGCTGCTGTTCTCGTGATGTACATATACGCAGGTATTAAGGCATATAACTTTACTTCATTCAAGTCTAAAGGGGTCCTCTATGAACGATTTTCTTCATAAAGCATCACTATTAAACATCACACGTAGTATGAAAATCAAGAAAGTTCAAATGTAATTAGATGTTTATCTTACTTTATGATCTACAGAGAGTGCCATGGCTTCTTTCCCTCGGCATAGAACCGCCCTTGAATCACCACAATTTGATACTATGATATGTGAGGAACAGATTAAAGCAACGACAGCCGTGGAGCCAACAGTTTCAGGAGCAACGGGTTCAACATTTGCTTGTTTTCCTCCAATCTCATCGTCAACCTTAAGGAAACAGTTCATAAATGCTTTTTTCCACAGATCTTGGACAATATTATCCTTACTGATACCACTTCCATCACCATCCATAAGAGGCTCCAATTCCTCCTTTAACGCTGTATGAACACGGCCACTACAGTAATTTGCAACCTGACCATATGGAAAAACAAACAATTTAGCTTAATTCATTCAGACAGCTTAATCTATGCAGAGTTTAATGGAAAAACAACCGAACAACCACTTAGATATGGATATAAACTACAAAGTAGAAGATTAGTCCAAAACCTCCCATTTTTGCAGCCTTAATTCACAAGAAAGTCTTGAAAAATGTCAAAATGTGATAGTTCTTGGTTAGTTTCTTTTTGGTTGCATATGACTACTTACTTCCCAGTTGCAGAAAAGGGTGAAATTTGACTTTTGAGGTCCATCAAGTGACTTCTATTTAAAATATTTGATGGTGATTCCGCTAGAAATTCAGCAGTACCATATTCCTACTTGTAATATACTCTACTCCAAAATCTGAAGTTGGTTACTGATTTTTCTTGAAGAATTATATCCATTTTGGAAACTAAAAAGTAAAGTCAGACTGTAAAGTTCACACTTGGCACTGTTTTTGAAAGAGAGATATACATATACCTGAGAACCACCATGGCCATCATAGACCCCAAAGAAATGGGTGGTCAAATGGCTTAGACTTTTGGTCATGGTCAACCGGTCCGAATCATGATCACCGGTTAGCATTTGAATAGGAACCTTCAAGAATCTAGGCACTGTCGCAACTGCGTCTTCCATCTCAGGTCTCCTTCCACAAATAGATGTGAATCCCCATAAGGGTACACAATCAATCTCAAACACACTGCGGGCTACTGTCCCACTCGATACTTTCTCCGAAATAACAATTTTCGTGGTCACATCCTCAAATCCCGTCACAGTAGCATTCTTTTCAGCATCTTGTGAACCCAATGTACCTATTTCAGAAGTTATGGATTCGAATGCTATAAAATCTTCACCACATAAACTGCTGGAATCGCTGACCACAGAAAGGGTACATGAGCTATCAAATATTCGATCACCTTCTAATGACATTAGTTCATCTTCGCTTTCTTGGAGTGCAGAATCAGAAGCAACCCAATTTCCATCATTCTCATAATTCGAATCTTGAGGATGATTTTGGAAGAAACTAGTTTTATCCGCCATAGTTTGTTGTATCCCAGTGATTATTACAAGGGTTTCCTCCAAAATCAGGGTTTTACAGATTGAATTACCTAAGCTTAATGGCACTATCACCGCCGGAAGCATCTCCTCCATGAAAATCACTATCTGGGTTGAAATTAAATTTACTGAACACCCCCTCAAAAGTCACATAAACTGTCATTGTTTGACTAATTCATCCCCTTACACCAACAGAACAGTAAACAAGGATGAAATAAGGGATTCTTGATTATAGCCATTGTCCATGCCTATGAATCAAAACAAACCGAAAGAGAACACAAGTATATGAGACTAATGAATGAAAATGGGTGGTTCAGATCTAATAAACAAACAAGAATCCAATGATCTAAGAATGGACCTCAAGAAGAACTTCTTCTCTGGAGGGCTCTATATCTACACAGTTGTTGAAGGCAAATCTTTACAGATTTTGAAGAAACCCCATAAAAATTCAAGAATCTTTGAAGAACTCTAGACACAGGAAAAGCCAGAAATGAAGAAAACACAGAAGGGTCATGGATAGAACCTACGAAAGAGAAGGCAAAAAGTTTCAAGAATCACAGGGAAACTCAAGAAAGATGTAGCCTTTTTCCTGTACACAAAACTTTTGGAGTTCCCTGGATCTGAGGCAACCAACATCAACCTCTCTTCTCTCTTTCTTTTTTCAACTTTCAGCAACAACAATAGCAATCAAGAAACAGTTCTAATCATCAAACATGTTAAAGTTTTTCAACTGTCTTTCTCACTTACCTAAACCTTTACTCGTATGGTTGAAGAGACCTGCTCTTGTTCTTCACAACCTCCTCCATTTCCGTTTTTCTTTCTCATAACCCTTTCAACTTTTTCTAGGATTACTGCTCAAGAAACTACTAAAAAGGGACCTCAATGTGATTACCCATTTCTTGATTCTTGGGGAAGAGCAAGAAGGCAGCAGATGGGAGAAATTTTCCTCTCTATGGATTGGAGAACAAAGAAATGGGAGTAGACAAAATGCAGGTGTCAAAAAAACAAAGAAAAGAAAAGAAAAATAAAGCATCTCCACACATTATTTGTCATCTGCCCTTTTTTTTATTTTCTTTTTTATCCACCAATAGAAAGCCTCCATGTCTCCTCCAAAACCATCATCACTTCTTTAAGTCAAGTCTATATCTTGAATTTTTTTTTCTTTCCTTTTTTTGGACAAGCATAAATAGGGGTTTATTGGTTTTATTTTTCACTTTATAATATTTAAAATAAATTATGATTCATCATTAAATAATTACTTTAATCATTAGTGAACAACATTCTTTTATAAAATAATCAATGAGTAAATACATAATATTCCAACCAATATAATAATCATTGTAAATTATATTTTAAAGAAATGATTATTTTGCTTATTTTTGTGGTGAAAATTTGCTATGACTATGCATGACGTTTGGAATAGAATATCATACCTATAATAACAAATAATAAAATTATGATTTAATTACTTGATTTTTAATCTGTTATTTTTTAACTTAGCATATATTTTTTTGAAAATATTTGAATTTATTTCATTAAATTTTAATAAACATCATCTTAATATAATTGTCCTAATTAATATATATATATATATATATACTAGAAGCGTACTCGCGCAATGCAGCGAGATACATCGTGATTTTAATATTTTATTTTATTTTTTATCTCAGTCGATGT